GAGGTTGTTCTTAACTGTGTAGAAGAAGAAATTAAAGCATGTGTCTGATTCCCCATTAATTAATCCAGTTATCTACTCCATAAATATTTATGAAATAAATATGAATGGGAGTTGTTAGGATGCAGAGTGTTTAAGTGACTGTCTGAATGTTCCAGAATGAGTTAAGGGCAAAGCAGAAAGGAGAAAATTTGGGTCATATCACTGTGTTCCTGATAGGAGGGGAAGAATGCTTATAAAGATGCTAGGGATTTTAAGCCAGTACTAGCCTTGATCGGGAGTAACAGTAGATTCCAATTGTCCTGCAGTTCATCATTGATCTCCATCACGTACTCATTAACTTTTTAGGAGGTAGTTTCTAAATATCTGCCTGTATTCTGAAGCTGTTGAACAGCTACTGAATTCCATCTGACTTAATCAGAAGGGAGAAGAAGGAAGAAATGACCAGGGCATTCAAATCAGCTCAATATACGATTGGCAGGGCAAGTCAGTGTCTTGTGTCTCAGACTAGTCTCCAACTTGTCATGCTGCCAAGGATGGCCTTGTCCCCCTCCACCTCCCAAATCTGCTATTATAGACTTGTACCTTTGCATCTAGATTGACATGCAATGTAAAAGAAAATGATGCTTATAAATGGAATTTAATTTCCCTGAGTGCAAAATCTTCCCCTTCTCACCCATAATATGGAGACCCATGGCTTCCAGTAGCTAGACTTGTCTTAATAATAAGTACTTCTGTTGTTGCCAGGGAAGAGATTAATTTAAAATCAATTATTTGTTCCTTTGAGTCACTCATATTTAAAAGACACCATCTGATATGGTTAGTCCGTTGTATACTTGTTCTACCTCCTGGGAAAGGAGGTAAGAAAATAGCTCCCCTTGCCTTAGACAAAATAAAGAACAAGCAATTAAACTTTGAGGGTTTTGCAAGCTAGGAGAACTCTGTGGGTCGGGTGCATCATCTTATCAGCCATTCCCATTTTCACCTCATGTTAATGCACATGTAGATATTTTAACTAATGTCATGGATCTAATGATAAATATCAGCCTTGCTCATCTCAGAAAACATCTTTAGTTATTCTCTGCACCTGTTAAAGGTCAATGAGGGTATGTGTGGCAAATTGTGGGTGATACTGGATGAAAGCCAGCTGTCTAACTTCCAGACATCCTGACAGCGTAGCATTGCCCCCATGAATCTACCAGCATCTGGTCTTCAGTTTTATACTTCCAGAAAGGCCGTTTTTATCTGTGCTTCAGCATTTATCTGACTCATGGAGACTGATTTGTGCTCATAAACTCTCTCTCTCTCTCTCTCTCTCTCTCTCTCTCTCTCTCTCTCTCTCTCTCACACACACACACACACACACACACACAGAATTCTAATTAGTTAATTTATAATGAGAAATAAAAATTTCAAGCACACCAGACAGCCTAATGAAAGCATTCTCCCTCTGTGGAAACCATATGGGAAGCCAGCTTTTGATCAGAATGTTTGGACTCAGAGCAAGGGGAATTGGTTATATGATTACAGTGATTAATGGCCACGGACTCTGGAATGGGACTCTTGCAGTTGTAAGTGACAGAGACACAAGGTCATTTTAGGCAAAGAGTAAGTTTGTTAAAAGACTCCATGGCACAATTGGAAAGTCTGTGGGGGAGCCTGCATTCAGGACTCCAATCCTCAGCATCATCTTCCTGTTAGCTTCTTCCATGAGGTGGAGACACTACATTCTATGGCTCCTGTCACAGAAGAGTGACTGACCTTCTACTAAGTTGCTATCAGTTTCTACTAAGGGAAATCCCAAAGGAAATCCTTGATACCGTGGGTGTGGATCTGACTTTGGGCCTATCAGCTCTAGATAGGGAAGGGACTTCAAGTCACTGTAGGCTGCCATTGAGTCTGATTAGAGTACTGACACTGAGGTCCTCCAGCTCGACTCTAGACCTGACAGATCTGCCTATAACCCCAGGTTCACAGGATTCTTGGACACTGGTAAGTTCCAGGAGTATAGGAATACTTATTCTTTCATACCTTCAAAACATTATAAAGGTTTTAAAGTAATAGTGTAATAGAGATAAAATGGTACTGCACCGTTTCATTTTGCATTTCACCAATTACTGGATTTATTGCCTAACAGCAATGAGCCTTCCCGACTTTTTTTGCAAATTGCCTGTGTGTTACCTTGGTCAATTTTCCTTTGGTATTTTTTTTTAACCATTGATTTACAAGAGCTTAATTTTTTTATTTGGATATTAATTCTATCTTGGTAAAATTTATGCAAATATCTTCTGTAACTTTCCTTGTAACTTTTTGTATGGTATTCCTTCCTTTCTTTCTTTTTTTCTAAGTTGGTCTTTCAAATTTCATTTACTGATTTGAAAGTTAAGAAGTTGAACATCTGATTTATTATAATTTTTAATTATCCTTTGACAATTTCATGTGTGTATACAATTTATCTTAATCACCTCCAACCTCATTACTAGCCCTGGGTCCCCTGCCATATATCTCCCTTCCACCTTCATTATGCTTTCTGCTTCTGTTCCCTCTCCCTCCTCATCCCTCCTGTTTTTATAGCGACCCCACTGACCACTGAGCCCACTCAGTGCTGCCTGCATCCTCATTAGTGTGAGGCCGCCCACCAGAGCATGGCCACAGCCACAAAGAGGAAAGCTGGCCTCCCTCTCCCAGCAGCCCCACAGCCAGCAGCTCTTCTCCATTCATGCTGTGATGTTGACTGACTTGTTCTTGTGCCGGGCTTATGCTAGGAACCACAGATGCTGTGATTCATCAATGTGGTGACTGTGTCATGTCCAGAAGACAGCGTTGAACAGGACTCCTCCCCATCTTCAAGATCTTAAATCCTGTCTACCCTTCTCCTCTAATGTCCTCTGATCCTTGGGGGAGGGGGCTGATATGTAGCCAGTTTAGTCACTCATCCTCAGCACTTTTGACCAGTTAGGAGACTCTGCATTGTCTGCTACCCACTACAAAAAGAAGCTTCTCTGACCTAGGTTGAGAGCTGCACCACTTTATGGGCATAAACATAAGTATTTACAAGGCAGATTGGCAATATGCTTACTTAGCAAAACAATAGTAGGTTCCCTCCTGGGGCCTTTGACCTTCACACCCATGGGTTTTTATCAGGTTTCCAGGACCAGGCACGGAGTCCCTCCTGTGGAGCAGACCTCATTCCAACTTGCCAGTTATTGGTTATTCCTATAATGGTCATGCCCTATTGCTCCAGTAGGGAGGTTGGTATTTTAGAATACTGAATATACTATCAGTAAGTCCATTGATGGCTTTTCTCCCCAAGTGACCTATGTAGCATCTTCCAGGGCTATGAGAGCTATCCAACATAAAGACTATTCAGGTTGGTCCTTGTTTGGTTTCCTCTATGTTCTTCAACCAAAGTATATTGTGTCTTCAGCAGTATGATCTTACCATCTAGCTATAGTGGACAATAAAGAGCTGTAGCAGTAGTTTGAGTTGTTTTGGGGCCTCTGGGGCCTCCCTGACCAATAATTTCTGAGGGGGGGGTATCCCACACAATGTAATTTTCATTTAATATCCCCTGTCTTCTGGACGGAACACTGGTCCCCCTTGCAGGCTCCCTATGTTCAAATATCTTCTTTAGTTGTATATTTTTTAATTCGTTTACAAAGCAGTAGGTTTTCATAAGGCTTTTTCATAAAGTCTTAGTTTTAAATAATCCTCCCCTCCACCATCTTCCTCTTCATCCCTTTGTCCCCATTAAGACCTAACTACTATCATGCATTTCACATCTGTAGATTCAACCAATCATGGACTGAAAATAATTGAAAGAAAACCAACTCTTTGCTGAACATGTAAAGACTTAAAAAAAATATTATTCCTGAAACCATGTAGTGTCCAAGCTATCTACTGAGCATTTACATTATGCTAAGTAATGTAAGCAATCTAGAGATGACTTAGAATGTGCATGAGGATGTACATGTGCTATACACAAATACGAATTTACAGAAGGGACTTGAGCATCCATAGATTTTGGTATCTACTGGGGTCTTCCTCCAAAATGCAGGGAAGACTATATTCTCATAGCTCTCAGGCTCCCAGGTGCTGCTGCTGCTGCTCAGGAAGCAACACAAAGTTAGCACCAGGCTAAATCTACCACCTGTACCCATTTGCCTGCCTGAGTTGGATTTTGTTATTTTGAGATTTTTGTTGAATGCTCTTGCTTTCCAAAGAAACTGGATATTTTCTTTGACCATCCATTCCTATATTATTGCAGGGAACACAAGTGCAGCTTCATTTCTGTAGAAGAACATCTTCTCCCTTACCCAAAGCTCTAAACAGAGAAACCCTTGTAAGTTTCTCTGGGCTCCTAACTGGGGTTTTTCTAGTCTCTCTATTATGGAAGTACAGTAAACCCAGGATCACTTCTCTTGTTCATTACCAGTAGTTAAAACTCTTCCCTGTATGCTTAGGATGTCAGCTTTTGTGATTCCCATAGCATGTGTCTTTTCATCTCCAGCACTCCAAAGGCTTCCTTTTGAGCTTGGCTAGGCTTATATATTTGGCGGAGGGCATATGATTCATCTAACATTTCTGTGTGTTTAGGAGGTGGGGGAGGGGCCTGGGAATAGTCTGTGATTTCAGCCACCTAGGTGCCTTCCAGATCTTTTTGGTTATCATCTGGCAGAGAATGTAGGACATGGAGTCAAAAGGATCTTGAGGTAGGAAGTAGGTGAGGTAGGGAATCTAGGGAATACAGAGCACCTAACATGTGGACATGGGACTTGGTAGCTATAGGTGTTAATAGTATTGGCACACAGAAGGTTGTAAGGATTTGGAAGTAATTGAAGGAATGCTTGCTAGGGATAGGTAATACTGTGAAGATGGCCTGGGAAGACTGGACTTAAACACTATCAGTGCCAATCTTTATCAAAATGTTTGTTTTATGTCAGTGGTTTTTTTTTGGGGGGGGGGGTCATTCTTTTTCTGACCTCTTGGCTTCTTCTTCTTAGGTGTGCTTTAACAACGTACTCTGAAGACTATACTCCACAGTATAATTATCCACCACCTGTGAGTACACGAATCCTATTCTAACTCTACTCCTGTGGGTGACTCGTCACATGTAGTGCATAAGCGGAGAGAAGGGATTAATTACTGAGACTTACAATGTCTTGTATTTATTAAGAAACACTTGCTGCTTGTAAGAATCAATGATTTTTTTATCTATGATTTATTTTTGGAAATTAATGGATTTTTTTAAGGGAGAAAATATCTAAGGTTCGAAGTATTTAAGATGTATTAATCGTTTTCCCCCTTGCTTATTTATTGTCTCCACCCTGATTTGAACTTGCAGGGAATGAAAATCACCTTTCTATTTACTTTTATCTTATGAACACATACAAGTATGGAACTTAATTCAGCTCGGGGAAATGGAGTGTTGATTTTTTTGAAGTCCAGTTTATAGCTGGAACATATTTATATTTTAGCAATTGAACAACAGGACAAGAGGGCAAGGCCTCACTTTTAAGATACTTGAGTAGCCAGTGAAACGTCTTAGGCTGATCCCATGTATGATGAGTTGGGGTGAGAAAGGGGGTGTAGAGATGGGAACTGGGGGATGAGGGGGGCGGGGGAGGGAAGAAAATATACAAGAGAAACCAAATAAAAGTGGCCTCCTACTGGCATTACTTTGGGCATCTTAACCAGTAAAATATCTATGAGATAAAATTAAAATATTTAACTACTGAAAAAGAAGATTTAAAAATGCCATTATTGTCTCAAATGGTGTAATTATATACTATTAGAAGAACCAAGATATATTAAACTGTGAAGTAACAGAATGAACAAAATAAAAATTTTCCATCTGGGTGGTGGTGGCGCATGCCTTTAATCTCAGCACTGAGGAGGCAGAGGCAGGCGGATCTCTGTGAGTTCAAGGCTAGCCTGGTCTCCAAACAAAGTTCCAAGAATGCCAGGAAACCCTGTCTCGAAAAACAAAATAAAACAAAATTTTTCTTCATGCAACACTAGCCAGTAAATTGTAAAAGAGGAAAGCATACAAATATAGCAACACAACATAAAACAATTTCTTGGAGAGAATTTTTCCAAGCCCAATGCAAGAAATGTGGTGATTTAGTACCCTGCCCCCCAGAAAACCCCAAACTTTCTTCCTTGTAGAGGCTCCTCCATCATCAAGAGATTGTTTCTCTGTCTCCAGAATCAGAGCTGTCAGATGACTGAATTGGTCATCAGAACATGACAAAAAGGACCTTGTGCTAGCCCCTTCATCTTTTGCAGGCCTGAGTGATGCAGCTACTGTTAAAGGGAGGATTAGGGAAGGAACACTGAAGGGTTTGGCTTCAGATAGAGGAAACAGTCTCGGGTATCCACCTTGGTTAAGGCGGGAGTCTATTCGCGGCTTCTGTTGGCTGCAGCTACTGTGGACTCAAGGGAGGAAGGAGTTGCTGAGTTTATTCACTTACTTGCTAACAACAAAAACAAAGATCCCAAGAGCTGATACAGGAATCCTGATTGAAAGAGACAAGACCGAAAAACTGATTATAAATGAAATGTGTAAGTTTAAATATAACTTAAAACCTCAATGGAGTTTTGCTTTTTATCAGAATTGAACATTGTAAGAATTATGTGAAAGAACAAACAGACTAAGCAAATAGAAAAGTGTTTTGAAAAAGTTGCACAACCAATTTAGCTTTTACTAGTTTAGAGGAAAAAAAGAATTTATGATACCATCTTTATTGTATGTTACTTTCTCGCTATCCTTTTTCTTATTGAAAATAACTCTTAATCCATAACAACAGTACATATGATAGCTTATGGATGGATATATTTAACACATACAGAAACAGTTATTGCAAGAGAATTGTTAAAGGCCTTACAGAAATGAACAAAGAACACGTATAGGCAATTCATATGGTCGGAAATACAATTAACCAAATAAATATAGGTAAAAGATAGAATTTAAAAGTAAGAAATATGAGTTAAATTAAGAATTTTGCTAATAAAATTGGCAATGTTTTTAAAATGATGACGGGGGATAAGGACGGGAGGAGATGGATAGTTTTGTTTGGTGTTAGGCAGGGATACATTGTTTCATCTTCCGGGGAAGGAGTTTGCCAGTTTATATTACATTACTATTTAACCCTGTAAGTCTCATTTAAGGAAATTTCAACAAAGAAAAATAATTCAAAATAAGGATAAAGCCACATATGCTGGTCAGTATATTATTTATAATAGTAAAACTTGGAGAATGCATGAATATGTGTTACTAGGAATAATGTTAATATATTATGATCACAGGCATTGTATAGCCTTTACATTGTTCATGAACAGGGCTTAATAAAACATTGAAAGTTAAAAAATTAACATTAATATGTATAGTTCATTAAAACTACATGAAAATATAGATAAAATAAAAAACTTAGAGAAGCTCTCAAAATGTTGGCAAAATTGGCCATTGAATGTGAAATTATGGTGATTTTTTTATCTTTATATATAATTTTTAGAATTTTCCAATACAACAGGACTTATAGTTTGTGATAAAAATTTATAGTCCACATGCACATGCCAAAACTTGTTTTCAAAGGCTAATGAGATGGCTGAGTGGGCAAAGGCTTTAGCCATCAGGCCTGACAACCTGAGTTCCCACATGGTAGAAAGGTAGAAGGAGAAGATTTCCACCCAAAAGTTGTCCTCTGACCTCCATACACATCGTGATACATGATTTTCCTCTCCACAAGAAATAAACACAAGAAAAAGCATAAGGAAATACATAATTCCAAAATGAATTTCAGGCCTGTTTCTTTATTTTTCACAAGACCTGGCTCTATCTTTAAACAAAATGAAGCTGTGAGTTCTAATTCCCTGTCTGGTACTGTGATAAAATACTAACGTGAACCCTGGCTATAGCCCATCATTGTGAGGGAAGTTATAACAGGAGGAACTTTGAAGGAACCAGTTATATCACATTGTCTTAGTTACTTTTCTCTTGCTGTGATAAAACACCACACAAAGATAGAGTGTATTTGGTGTTTAGTGACAGAGGCTTAGAGTACATGGCTGGAAGTGTGGCGGTAGGAAGGCAGCTCAGCCCTAGAAAAGTAGCTGAGAGCTTACATCATCTTGAGCCACAAGTGTGAGACAGAGACAGACAGACCAACAGAGAGAGAGAGAGAGAGAGAGAGAGAGAGAGAGAGAGAGAGAGAGAGAGGAGAGAGAGAGAAAGAGAGAGGAGAGAAGACAGAGGAGAGAGAGAGAGATGGGGGCATAGACAGAGACAGACAGACAGATGGACAGACACACAGAGAATGGCAAGCATCTTTTGAAACCTTAAAAACTGTTCCCAATGACACATCTCCTCCAACAAGGCCACACCTCCTAATCCTTCCCAAACAGTTCTATTAACTGGGAACCAAATATTCAAACCTATGAGCCTACAGGGGCCATTCTCATTCACACCAGCACACACATTTACAATTGAAGGCAGATGGGAAAAAATGCTGCCATGCTGCCTGCTTGCTGCTTTTGCTCAGCTAGCTTCCTTCACTCTTCCACAGTTCAGGGTCCAGTCTATAAAATGGTGCTGCACACGTTTAAGGTGGATCTCCCATCTCAATTAACAGTCAAGACAAACCCCACAATCATGCCCACATACCAACCTGATCTAGATGATGCTTCATTAACACTCTATTCCCAGGTATTTGAGTAACACAAATTGGTCTTTAAGGGTTTTTAAAACAAAGAAAAACAACACAAGTTTGAGTGTGTAAGGAAGTGAAGGTGGATCTGGGAAGAGTTAGGAGTGCGAATGTGATCAAAATATATTGTACAAAACTCTCAATTTGGGAAAAAACAAACAAACAAACAAAGAACCAACTCTCCAAGGTGATTCTATTTGTGTCAAGTTGATAGTGAAAATCACCCAGCACAGACACCTAATTGAAAACCCACAAAATATGAAGGACAAAATATAAAGAATGTAGCTGTGTTCCTGGAGCACGTAAGTGTTTGGCCATTCATGCTTTTCACATTGTCAGCATTCTTGCTAATATTTCTCACTTTGCTCAAAAGTTTCCTTGGTGGCTGCACAGCATGCCAAGGCAGTTGTCTGGCTTTAACTGAAGACTTCTGTACATTCACTTCTCCTTTCATGCCAAAGTAATTGACTTTGAGGCCTGGTTCTAGCACTGCTTTTCATAACACATTAGTAAGTGTTTATAGTAATATATTTTGATAAGATATTTTAAATTGTAACAGGCAATGGTTAAAACACAGTGGAACAGCACTGAACTCTTACAACGAAATTAACATGCACACAAACAAGTGTATGATTCACAAAATACTGATAAAGAAGAATATCTGTTACCCCGTTTAGAGACTTCACCATGTGATCTTTGCATGTGTTGCTTTCTCTACTCATTCAGTCTATAACCTTCACATATGCAATTATTGAACAATTTTGCAAGTGTTTACACTCACGTTATTTCAAATGTTTGTGAATTGAGACTTTATTTTTATACTGGTCTCTTATATCAGCTCAACTCATATTTGTAGGGCAGAATGTAGAAAATAAAGGGAATGCAGTTGGTGAAGAACAGAATCAACATTCTTGGGGCATGTAAGGAGATTCTCTCTTCCATCTCCTATATTCTGTTGGTAAGGTTTGCCTCTGAGGTTCCTGTTTGAGTTCCTAAATTTTCATTCCCAAATTTCCCTCAGTTTTGGTTTTCTTTATTCCATTTCCACTTTCAGGTCATGTACTGTTTGACTCATTTCCTTCCACTGTTTCTTTATTCATTTCTTCTTTAAGGACCTCTATCATATTCATAAAGGCTATTTTGAATTCTTTGTCTTGTGTTTAAGCTATGTTGCAGTACTCAGGGCCTGCTGTGTAAGATTTCTGGGCTCTAGTTGAGACATATTCTGATGTTATTGATTTTTGTTTTTACACCAGAGTCTAAGCATCTGGGTTTGGATGATTGTCATTCTAGGTGCTGATATGTGGTCTTGTCTTGGTTGGGCGGGTGTTGTGTTCCTTGGTTTCTTTTGCCCCTTCTGGTTCTTAGGAGAGTGTGGCGGCTGTGTGTTGCCTGGCAGGGAAATCCTCTGGATCCTGACAGGTGTAGCCACTAGGGGTCTGGACAAAATATGCTTTCAGATATTGGGAGCTGACACATAGGGGTGGGCTGGAGGGTGTGATGGAGATTGGATTTGGAGGGAGGGAGGGAGAAGTGAAGATCTGTAGTTAGTCTATGTGTTTCCCTCCGAGTTCTCTAACTCTTAAATTCAACTATTTGATATGATATGACTCTGTCTCATTGACTCTGTCCCATTATAAATCTCATGACCAGGTGACCTTCTGGAGTAAAGACTTTGGCAGACATTTCATTCTGTCAGTTTGAAAACTGGATAATCTTTTAATTCCCCCATGTACCTGCTAAATCACTAATATTCCAGGATTGTATTATAGGAAAGTCAGGTCCTGAAGTGCCATAGTTTTCCCATAGAAAGATGTTCCATTGTTCTAATTGCCATGTTCCTCCTAACAGTAGTTAGGTACCATACACCTTTGCCTCTAGCTCAGTTCTGTTTCAGAGAATTTGGGATTAGGAGAGATTTTACTTTCTTCTTTTCAATTGTTGGATTTCTGCAGAAAACACATGTGTTTTTTATAAAGGAGAAAAATATTTTAGAAATTGAGATCCTTAGGCTTCAATTTTACATGTGATACATTATGTCATATGGTTATAAATATAAATCATTGTCAAAGAAAGATGTCCTCCTATAAACTGGACTAAAGAATAAGAAAAATGATTCTTGTGTTTTGTATGATGGAATGGTAGGACTAATATCAGTATCCAGTGTTCCATAGGCTGCTGTGAGTGTTACTGCCTGGACCTTAAGGTGGGATGTTACTTAAAAACACCAATTTATCTGTCAAAGTGAATATTCATATAGATCTTCCTATTTTTCCTATAACAAAACCTTATTAAATTTGGTACATTTGTTTGTTGTGTAGCAATTTATATTTGTACTCACAGCCTCAGCTCCTTTATACCTCTTGTGAAATTTTCTTGTGGTTAAATGTCTAGAATTATACAAATGCTGTAACTGGAGTTTTCTCCAGTTCTGCTCAGGCCTGCAGCCTCTCAGACCCAAGTAAATACACATAAATTTATATTACTTATAAACTGTATGGCTGTGGCAGACTTCTTGCTATCTAGTTCTTATATCTTAAATTAACCCATTTCTATTAATCTGTAAGTTGCCACGTGGCTTGTGGCTTACCAGTACTTTACATCTTGTTTCTCATGGTGATGGCAGCTGGCAGCGTCTCCTGACTCAGCCTTCCACCTTCCAGAATTCTCCTCTCTGTTTATCCCGCCTATATTATACTTCCTGCCTGGCTACTGGCCAATCCGTGTTTTATTTATCAATCAATCAGGGCAACACATATTTACTGCATACAGAAAGACATCCCCAGCACCCAAGCATGTTGTTAAAAGGAAAATGCAAAATCTATGTATCATGCCAGAAGAAAGAGCCGTCTTCTGATATGGGACAGAAGAAAATGAAAAAGTTAAGGGACTATTCTATTGCTACTAATTTAAATTCTTTGATTCTTTAAACTTTTCTTAAAGTATGAATTTTATATCAAAATTTATAAGATTAATATATATTTTAAACTTTTGTTATGATATTAATGGTCATATAGAGTACTAACTAATTCTAGAAAAAAGGCTTCAATCAGCTGCCTATACATGTCTTTGTGTTCGAGTCTCTCTCTATCAGTTTTCTGAAGGGAATCATGACCAGGCCTAACATCAAATTTGAAGTCTCCAGAAAGATGATGGGGCCCCACAACAATGATTCCATGTGGACAATAATAATACCACTAAGTTGACAAACATCAGACCAGCTTTGGACTACAAACTGCTCAGAACAATTTCGAGATGGCTAGCTGAAACGATCCAGTTTCACAGACTACTTGAACAAGGACTTGATTTGATAAGCCCTGAACTTTGGCATTATGTAGAGACTGGACAACAAATGATATAGCTACCTTTCCTAGAACTTGACAATTAACCCAAAATTTTTCTTTTCAGAATAAAGATGCCTTCACCTACAACCAGCAGGAAGCATTTTTAAGAACACGATACCCACATTCCCAAAGAGGTGGTGTGGGGCAGGTAGTTTTTGGTATTTCAGTGAGTTTCGGGTCTGGGATAATTTTCATTGTTTAGGAGGGTTGGTTATAAGTTGTTGTTGTTAATGATTGAGAAAAGGGCTAAGCAAAGGAATAGAGGGTAGATTATTGAATCTACTTTATTTTTTTATTTTTTATTTATTTTGTTTTTGTTTTTCGAGACAGGGTTTCTCCATGTAGCTTTGCACCTTTTCCTGGAACTCACTTGGTAGTCCAGGCTGGCCTCGAACTCACAGAGATCCGCCTGCCTCTGCCTCCTGAGTGCTGGGATTAAAGGCGTGCGCCACTACCACCCGGCTATTGAATCTACTTTAAAAAGATGATTACTAGTTTTAAATACTTTACATTGGATTGGATTTTTATATAGTGTATACAAATTATATATATTGAGATTGATACCGTTAGAAAATGCTGTATGTATATTTCTAATCTTGTTCAGGATATTGTACTTAGTTCATTTAACAATGTAATGCAATTTGCTAATCCTTGAATGTTATTATTATCAACTATTAAGATATAAAGAAATGAAAGTTAGTGGTTAGATATTACAATCAAACTTGTAGTCATATTAGGTATGTTTTTAAGGTTGAACAGAGATATTTTAGATAGACAGGTCATCTTCAAACCCTTCAGAGATCTATAGAATATTGCATTTAAAATGTCTTAATAACTTAGAAATTTTTTTTTTCTTTCTTTCTTTCTTTTTTTTTTTTTTTAATGAGTATGAGGCATGTTGGCTCCTGGCAGCACCAATCTACTTCAAAGAAAATATGGGCATTAAAGAAACTGCATATGGAGTTAACTTTCATTGTGGCAAAAGTTAGCCACTGGACAGCAAAGTGTCCTTAAATCGACTGCTGACAAACAGAACAAAATGGACAGACAGGACTCAAAACAAAGGACTACCAATTCTTGCCAAGACAAGCGTGGTTGTGGCTTTAGCAACACACATCCTCTGAGGTCAGGACAATATGGCACCATTGTTAAAGTGGCCTTTGCAATCTGGAAAAGGTACAGTGTCTCTTTCTTTGAAGGCAGCTGAACAGGCAGTGGACCAATGGCTTCTGATGTGCAGTGGAACAGTAGCTGAAACAGTTATTCTTGAAAGAGTAACTAGGCTGACAGAGTCTAACCTCTCTATGGTAGACTGGCATTTAATAAAAGAGGTGAAGTCACCCACAAGCCAAGAAGAATGGGATGCGGAAAAGAACGGGATGCTGAGATGAAGCTACCCACAAGCCAAGAAGAATGGACAGCTGAATTTCAAAAACACCAACCATATCCAGAATTTAAAATCCTGAATCATGACAGGACACTAGTGGAATTCGGGTTTATCTGGCACATGGACTGCTCTCACCCAATGTGAGGCCGAACTATTGACCTTGTGTACATCCTACTTCACAAATGAATCTATCAGATACGCTAAGCCTATAGGCTGAAGAAGATGCCCCAACATTGCAGAGAAACCTTGGGTGACTGTCCAGGCAGCTGGCTGTTTCTGTCAACTCACATTTTTTTTGGAATCTGCTTGCTTGCACTTCCTGTTTTACTAGGTAGTATTATTTCCTTCTTGTGTCTCTGAGGGAGTTGAAGATTAGATAGTTATAGTTAAAGATTAGGTAGTTATAGTTTTCCTTGTTAAGAATTTCAGAAAAGAAACTCAATAAAAAGGGGTAAGTGTATACATTTGAAAGACATTATAAGATAGTTCTCTGTTAGTAATATAAGATAGGATAGAAAGTGAATCAAATACATTTTGGACTAAGCAAAATAGCATAGATAATGGAATATTTTCTCTGAGTCTGTCAAATACAAATGGACTGGACATTGTTGAGGTATTTATTGCTTGTATATATTATATATAGTCATTGTACTTACTGTATATAGTCTTTCTTATATTAGTTATAACTTTTTTCTTTTTTCTTTTTATTAGAATAAAAGGGGAAAATGTGATGATATTTTAATTGTGCTGAAATGTGATTTTATTTGTATGTTAATAAATAAAGTATGCCTGGAGATCAGAGGTCACATAGCAAGGTCACATAGCCATAAACAAGAGTCAGGCAGTGGTAGCACACGCCCTTAATCCCATCACATGGCAGGCAGAGTCTCTGTGTGGTCAAGGACACAGCCAAGCATGATGACATGAGTCTTTAATCCCAGTACTAACCATAGAAACCTGGAGGTCTGTATAGGCAGTGACGAGGATGTCATGTGACTGAGCTTAGAACCAATGAGAAGGCAGAACAGGAAGGCACTAAAAACACAAGTTAGATGGGAAGAAACTGTCTGTGGAAGCGATGGTGGTGAGGTGGTAAGATAAGGTAGTTGTGGTTCTCCGCTAGTTCTCTCATTTCTTTGGCTATTACCTCTGTATTTGGCTCCGTGTTTCTTATTTAATAAGACTGTTTAGAACTTCGTCTACTTGTAAATGCTTTTTCCTTTATAAAATGTATTCAGTAGAAAGAAATAGGAAATTCTTCCTAAATGTATAACAAAATGCATCCCACTAGTTACACATTTATTATTGCTGCGCCAGCTGATTACTATTATTTTTCTAATACAACCATTGAGAGGAAATAGCATCCAGTGGGAATCAACTCACTGAAGTTGGTGAAGAACTGAGGAAGGTCTGTCACCCAGTGTCATCCAGGGTAGGTAAGGCAGATCCTTGCCCATTTCCTCCCATGCCGCTCTGCATGTGTGTTTTCCCAGGGGGAAGGTACAGTCTTCATTCAGGTACATAGGAGTCTTGGAGTTTTTATACATGATGTATATTAAAAATAAAAAAGAAAACCTTACAGGCAAGCTATGAAAATATGTACTTTGGTTTTGTCCAATGTGACATTCACATCAGAATGCCTGCTGCTTTGAATGCCTTTTAAGAGTAAATGAAGTACCCCAAATGAGTGTCCTTATGGGCATACCAGGGAAGGCTAGCCTTTGCTGTACTAATGCCAGGTGGGCAATGGCTGTCATTACAGTACACACAGGGTCGTTCACAGTGGCCGACTTGGCCAGGAAACAACCCATTATACGTGTTTATGGATGAGCTGGGTGGATGGACAGAGACTGTTTTCCCATTACAGCACACAATTAGGCAGCTAACAATGTTTCAGAAGACTGGTCTCCAACTGAAAACTGACCTTGAAAAATAAAACTATCAAATAAGAAAGGAACCAAAGAAACAAAATGAAATCAGTGAGAATGGACCCTCAGAATGGCCTGTTGGGAGGTTTGGAAAACTTGGCTGAGGATTAGGTATACATGTTGACTAAGAAACATCGATGTCATTTTTTGTCAGGGAAAAATGATAGGGGAGATAATGGCACACAGGGTTACCCACATAACTTCTGGAAGAGTCAGTAGTGGTTTATTCTCAGAATATAGGTGACTGAACCATGCTTCTTTATTCTAAAATATAAGAATATAGCACCCATGAAGCACAGGATGTCGGGGATGGGCTATGAATAGTGTGTATCAGTCTACATGATAAAACCTGTCACTTGTCTTTTGAGTGAGTGAGGGTCAGTTGGGAAACTCCTCACTAAGAAGCCTATTGTAACATCCCAGGCTGCCTGCTGTGATCTATAAAAGAGAAAGAAAGACAGAAGGAAAGGATGGGAAGAAGAAACCCCCTCAGCCAGTTTTCCCCAGGCTAGCCTTCTTCCATGTGCCCTCGCTGCAGCTTCAGTGGTTTCCAGCATGTAACCGGGCTCTTTAGCCCCAGGCGTTCCTTTCTTCTTTGCCTTTTACCGGCATGCTTTATTGAACTCCCTTAACCCTTTTTCTGAGCAGCACATGCTAAGGTGACTAGAAATTGACTCATCCCACTGTGTTTGGTTAGGTCTGGCTCTGTCGCTTCTTTCCAAGTTAGTGTTATTGGTGTCCCCTGCATTCTGTAGCCTACAATACTCTCCTTGCTGCTTCTTACCTATCTTCTACGACTTCTCTTTTGACCCAGCCATGGGCACCACTGACATTTGGGTTCCAGAACACTGCTCCTCCTCCTATTTTACCCAATCTCAGAGAATTCATCTGTCCCATTAGCTCTGTATCCATCATTCTGGGTGCACAGTTTTTGATTATATAATGTAAACCCTACAAGAACATTTCAGGAAATCCACAGGGATAGCCATATAACTTCTATTAGAGTCAGCTATTGCTTATCCTCTGAAGAGGGGCAACTAAACCATGTTCCTTTATACTATATAAATCAACATGTAAACTAGAGCAAGGACACATAGCTATGGTACAGTTTTCAACCTCAGGGAAATTCACGGAGTACAATTATGTAATCCACAGTCCATAACAGATATGATCCATGGTCCCTGTGATGTTCTCTACAGCTATTTTCTCCCTGCTGATGATCACTGCTGCGTGTAGGGCACTGACTTCTCTCCAGGCCATCTGTCCCATCACACCGTCTTCCAAGTAAACATTTTGTACCGAAGCCATCTCAAATTAGAAATGTCTAAAATGTGACTCATAATTTCCCCATAAAAAGTCCTCCCCTATCCCTGCATCTTATTCTTTTTAGTGGTGTTACAACTCTCCTCACTATGCAGATTTGATACTATGAATCATCTTTGATTCTTTGTATGCAGTTAGCCATGAAAATGCTCTAAGCTCTTTCTGTGAAATGTCCCTTTTCTAAATTCTGCAGGAACCTCTGTGCAATAATGCTTATTATGTACACATGAAGCACTAGTTCCTAGTTATCCTTATCTATAAAGGGCTCAGAAAGATCTTTCAAATCCTAATCCTGCCTCAGAGAAACAGGCAGAAATCATGGTCTGGGTAGCACTGAATACTGGACCTGCCAACAATCTGTAGTAATTCGAATGTCTGTTTCTACATATAATTCTAAACACTCTTCTCACACCCACTAAGGAAACATTAGACAAGGATTTTAGGTATTCTATTGGGATGCTGAGCATATGATAACTGTCTGCAGCTTGTGTTGGAAGAGGAAGTGAGTCT